ATTCGGTTGTAGTGGCAGATTACTCACAGTGTAATCCTGGGTGAAATGCGTTCATTACAAGTGCGGACGCAATGATAGGGTAATGGTCCACAGGCTCTGGAGGGCAAGCCGCCAAAAATTCTCCAATGTGGTGGCCCAGTTCTTCAGGGACTGGCCATGACGGGCGGGATGCGGCGACCAAATTGAATGTCTCCATGGGTTTGGCAGTATAATGTGCAATAGCGGCGCGAAGAAGTATTTTAGTATCGGACCCAGTGAAGTGAAGCCCTTCAGCTTGTCGATGGTTCCTGAGACCAAATAGCTTTACTACCAGGCCAGGGCTGGCAGAAGCTCCGTTAATAACGCTGAGCTCTGTATAATCACTTATTGTTCTTTTTACACTCGCCACTGATTGTGTCCACTGGTCTGCCATCATAGTAGCTAGAAGTTCAAATTGAATGTCCTTTAAGCAGTATTTGTCAGTTGCGACAACAAAGTGAGTCCGAAGCTTGGGTTTTTGCAACTGTCGGCGCAGGACCCAAGAGCATACAAACGACAGGACCCGTTCAAGTCCACCGAAATCCGCTACAGAGATTAACACTATGTCGCTGAATAAAGCAAAGACATCGCAATAAACTCTGTAAGCCAAATCTGTCATGGTTGCGGGCGGCTGTTGCACCAGGTGGTAACAGTAGTTGCCTGGAACGGGCCCCGCTATGATGCGAGGTATGGCGTTGCCTGGTTGCTTGTGCATGTCGCACATCACCACTAAGTTAGACCCTTGACGCTGAAGGGCTATGGCGAATTTTCTATATGGGAATCTCATGGCGCCCTTGAGACCATCGCCTTGCTCAGTATGCCCCTGTATAAGAAGAATGGTCCGTGGTTTTGCTTCGCCTATTTTGTCGAGAATTTCGTACGGCGCCATGTTTTCTTGCAGATATGGCCCAGGAAGACCAGCTGCACTAGACCGAATATGGAGGAGGTCGTTGCGCTGCATGATTAGGGGATTGCGACAGCAAGATTGTGTGTGTTGGCGTGCGGGAGATGGTGTCCACTGGAGCCTGGGCGTTAAGTATTATTTTTAAATTTGCCTTG